GTCGCCAGGACAAAGGAAAGTTTAATTCTTCTGCAGAAGAATTCTACAGAATTCTTATAGTAGTCATGTAGAAGACTCCCTGTTCTCTTCTTGGAGATAGCAACCGTTTCTACAGCATACCAATAAAGCAAATGCATTAATTTCTGAGCCGCTTTCCCATCGTTGGCTTCCTAAACAAGGCGGTAGGTTTAAGATCATTCCAAAATTCAAAATTCCATGCTGTAACATCTTGAGTCTGAACTGTACGAGCTGACATTGATGGCTTCCTTTCGTGTTACCATAGACTTCGATGCAGTTCGAACATCAGAAGCAGACCAGATGCACTATCAGAAACTAGTCTACAAACATTAGCATATCAAGGAAGAAAAAGGAAGGAAGGAAGGAAGGAAGGAAGGAAGGAAGGAAGGAAGGAAGGAAGGAAGGAAGGAAGGAAGAAAAAAGAAAAGAAAAGAAAAGAAAAGAAAAGAAAAGAAAGAAGGGAGGGAGGAAGGAAGGAAGGAAGGAAGGAAGGAAGGAAGGAAGGAAAATATACTAATCTCGCAAGATCTGACATTTCACGATTCCTTTACTTAAACAATGATCATGCTGAATCAAGCAAGAAGCAATCATCTAGATCCAACTAGCTGTCTAGAACCTAGGACAAATGGAAGTTTTAAGAAATTATCACAAGATGCCTTTCACATCCCTAAGTCTCCACCACTTGGCGCTTCCTTGTTCATCACAAATCAGAATTGTACAGGAATGCAGGCAATTCCCTGCATTCATTCAACTTGCATCTCTGAACGCAAGCCACAGAACTAAAATAATAATCACCACCACCCACCCCAAACCCGTCGATACTAAAAAGAAAGGAAGGAAACGGACATTATCTCGACTATTGGAAGGGAAGAAGGATGAGGGGAAGGTTTGCCTTTAGGCCTCGCAGAATACAAATGTGTTACACCACTACAGGTCCAAATCTTTGATCTTCCTTTCTGCAGGAGCTATGATGTAGAAAGCCAATGTACTAAGCAGACAGTTCTATGCCGAATATAAATTATCCTTTAAATGCAGCGAGGTATTCTCCTGCTCACGTTTTTAAGAGGGAAGGCAGCTTTCGCTGGGAAGAAAGGCAGGGCTGTGAAGGAATAACACCTTTTGTGCAGGTGGGAAAAAAAGAATTAAAATGCGGACAAGGATCTGAATGGTTAAACACTTTTAAGGAGAGGAAGACACACACACACACAGAGAGAGAGAGAGAGGGAAATTGTGTTTTTTCAGTTTCATTTGGCAAAAAAAATTCAACACGGAATATCCACACATCCTGCAAACAGCAACAACGATTCGTTATTTGCCTCCCATAATAGAGTTGATTCTCTTATAATCTTTAAAAAAAAAGAAAAGAAGGCTCTGAGAATCGTCGGCTTAAGTAATGTTCAATTTTATCTTCAGATTCAGCTACAGACACAGTGGAAGGAGAACATGCCTGGAAATCTAAAAAGTGTTTTCTCTCCAGCTCTCCCTTGCCTTTTTTTTTTTTCCCTTTCCCCTATCAGCTAACTCTCCGCGTTGTTCTCAGGATTTTTAGTCATTAATATTCCGATCGAGTCTTTGCAATTAACACACTTCCTGTTTTCTTCCATCATTCCCCCCATAACCTACACCCCCATATCAACCTTCTCCACCCACCACCTCTGTATAGGTGGGATTATCAGTTTAGATAATAGCTTCTCTATTATAAATTCTGGCTTTGCACCTTATTTTATATGCAAATTTTACAGTATTGAAAGCACCCAAGGATGAAGGCATCATCACACAGGCTCCCGTTCTCATTTTTAAAGGCAGAAACAAATAATTTTTATTTTTGGGGGGACCATCCAATAAGAGTTTTACGGGGAATCTGTTCAGAGAAGTCCTTGCGTCTTAGAAATCAGCTCCATGGATGATCTTGAAACAGGCACCTGTTCCTGAGCCAGCCAGAAGCCTGTGTAACTTGCTGTCTTACACCCTCCAGAGTACAAATAATCCATTCCACATTTGACCAACATACCAATAGTTGCATGCATACATACATACATACATACATACATACATACATACATACATATTCTTGAACCGGGTATTTTCCTATGTAAACCAAGTTTTTCAAATCGCAGCCATAGCTCAGTGAAATTACATCCATTATCCAAGGCTTCTTCAGACAGTGAAGTAGGATAGCGGATGTGATTTCACTGAGCTATGGCTGCAATTTGTAAAACTTGGTTTATGTAGGAAAATACCCGGTTCAAGAAAAATACATACTTTTAAACCTACGATAAGAGCAGAAAGCACACACACACACACACACATATACACAAAAAATATCAGAGCATTCAGGATAAGGAGAGAAAAAAAGTCTATGTTTTATTTTCTCCATATGGTGTATATTTCCCTTGGCATATCAACTTTCACTTTTCATTTGCTAACCTTCCATAAACTGGGGGGGGGGGAGGAGAAGTTGCTTTTCCAAGTTGAATATTTGTGTTGAAAGCACCCATCATTTCCAAATTTTTTTTGTTTCTCTTCCTAAGGTGGATGTGCTAATTTTTTTTTTTTAAAGAGTGGCATTTGGGATGAACCAGATCCCTTCATCAACCCACTTGGTCCTTTCCTTGGTTGCTCCTTTCAGATCCATCCACAGTGGAGGCTCAAGCTATTTTAAGGCAAGGCTGTGTGTTTCCATGGTCCACGCCCACTCACCCCCTCCTTCCCTCTCTTTTCTCCTGCCCCCACCCTCTTCCACCCCTCCACCCAAGGTCAATGAGAAGGTAATGCCTACTCATGACAGACCTTCAAAACTACTTTTTAACAAGTTTATTACCAGACCAAGGTTGAAAGCAGAAACCCTCAGCTTGCATTTCCATTCAAGCCATCAAAGAAGCATGCCAGGGCCAATTTCTAGAAGATGGAGAATGATGTAGTAAGTCCAGTTGATGGTTTATTTATTTATTTATTTTCCTTCCTTCCTTCCTTCCTTCCTTCCTTCCTTCCTTCCTTCCTTCCTTCCTTCCTTCCACCACCGTTAGCCATGACAAAGAAGCACTTCTAGGAACCAAAGTCTCTTCCTTCCTAGTTTCTCTGCCCAGAACCTCCCAAGCTGCCCAGTTTCCACACCGCCACGCTTGGGTTTTCCTTTGCCACCAATCTGAAGATGCCACCAAATCAACTAAAGTGTCTGGATTATATATCCACACACCTTCTCTCTCCTTCTCTCTCTCTCTCTCTCTCTCTCTCTCTCTCTCTCTCTCTTCCTAGCTGCTGCACATCCGATTCCAAGACTCCCAAAATAAGCAACTTCATCACACCAACTCAAAGGAAACCCTTCCATTAAAAAAAAAAAAACAAAACTTCATTTACCATCCAGCCCATTGCCCGGTTTTTGTTTTTCGCTGCTTCTTCTTGTTCTTCTCTTTGCACAAACACAAAAACGCATATTACACCAGCGAGCTGAGTTTTTTTTTTTTTTAACGCAATCTTTTCCCCCATGCAGCCTCCATTACAAGATTAACATTCCACCCACCATAGATGCTACATTTTTTTCCCCCTCTCGCTTCCAATTCACCCACCACCAGTCGCTAGCTGCACAATCCCCTCCCTTATTAATCTGCACCCTTCTCCGGCGCCCCCCCCCGCCTTCAAAAAAAAATTATGCACTGGAGTGAAGATGTAAAAAGAAAAAAAGAAAAAAAGACTGCTATCTTCTCGGGGTGGATGGGGAAGGAGGAGAAGATAGGTACCTGTCTCTAATCCACAAGTTGATCAAGCCTCCCGGCAGCGGAGCAGTCTATCTTTCTTCTGCCCCCTCTCCTACCACTACCACCACCAACAACAACATAACACACACACACACACCGGTGAAATGGAAGGGGCAAATGGACCCCCGACCAACCAGCCCACCATGCCCGCAAAGCGGTGGCACGGCGGTTGTGTCTCCCGACGTTAAGACTTCTTCTACCTCCACTCCCCACGCCGGTAAGTCATCACATTCCCCCGAGGTTCGTCCATAAAGGGTGGGGGGGGATCGGGGGGGGGGGGGGGCGAAGCGCCGCGCGCCTTTCAGCCCCTTCCCCGTCCTTCTCTCGCCCCCACACCCGGATCGACCCCACCCCCCCCACGCCCCCCCCCCCAGCCCTTCTCCCGCCCCTTACCTTCAATTCCCTCCGAGCCAACTAAGCTAAAATCAGCTTTCCCCAGCCGTGCTTCGCCCCGCTGCCTCCAAGTCGGGGGGAAGGAAGGAAGGAAGGAAAAGGAAGGAAGGAAGGAAGGAAGGAAGGAAGGAAGGAAGGAAGGAAGCCCCAAAGCGCACCGCGGGGGAAATCCTTCTTCAGCTCAACATCGGAAGAGGAAAGGGGGAGAGAGAGGGAAAGGGAGAGAGAGGGAGGGAGGGAGGGAGAGAGAGAGGGGGGGGAAGGAAGGAAGGAAGGAAGGAAGGAAGGAAGGAAGGAAGGAAGGAAGGAAAATAGACAGGTGGGAGAGAGGAAGGGAGGAAGGAAGGAAGGAAGGAAGGAAGGAAGGAAGGAAAATAGACAGGTGGGAGAGAGGAAGGGAGGAAGGGAGGGAGGGAGGGAGGAAGGAAGGAAAGAAGGAAGGAAGGAAGGAAGGAAGGAAGGAAGGAAGGAAGGAAGGAAGGAAGGAAGGAAGGAAGGAAGGAAGGAAAAAAAATAGAGAGGATATTTCCCAAGGATCCGAAATGGGGAGACCGACAGCGGGATGGGGGGCTCCGGGCCGCCCCTCCCCCCTTCCCCCAAATCAAAATGCAAGACAAGGAGAACGATGCCGGCATCCTTCCTCCCCCGCCTCCCCACTGCAATTGCGGGGAGGCGTCCAAGTTAGGGGCTCTAATAAAAGTGAGACCCCCATCCCCAGCCACCCCCCCCCCCCCCCCCCCCCCCCCCCCACCCCATCCCAGCCTCGCTCCAAAGGAACCCTTGCAAGAAAAGAAAACCCGGCGCCCAAGTCCGGCAAAGCCGCCTTGAACTTACACGAGGAGGTTTCTCCAAACTTGAACGAAGGCGAGGCGGAAGAAAAAGAAGAAGAAGAAGAAAAAAAAAACAGAAAAAGAAAAAAAAAGAAGAAGAAAAAGGGGGAAAAAAAAAATCCTCCGGCTACTGCCGAACGGCTGCAACGACGACAGAGACGGCGGCGTCGGTTCTCCTCCTCCTCCTCCTCCTCCTCCTCCTTCGCCTCCTCCGCCTCGGCAGCCCAGAGAGCCCGGAGATGGCTAGGATGCCGACGCGGCGGCGAGCGGAGAAGCGCGCGGCGCCCGAAGAAGCCAAGCGATATTCCCCGCGAGAAAGCGGCGAGGGCGAGCGAGCCGGCGAGGCAGGTCTCCTCCTCCTCCTCCTGGTGCTGATGCTGCTGATGCCCGGGAGCCAAAGGCTAGCCGAGCCCGGTGGAGATCCGCGTGGCTGGCCCCGCGGAAGGCGAGATGGAAACTCGGAACCGTCCTCTGCTACTGCTGCTGCTGCTGCTGCTGCCGCTGCCGCTGCCGCTGCCGCTCCTAGCACCGCGGCTCCACACGGCGGTTGCATCGGCTCCGCGCTTCAGTTGCTGGCGTCTGAACTCCGCTTTCCCCGACAGCGCCAGCAAGTCCTCGCCGCGCCTGACATCACTGCGAAAGGGGGCGGGCGGTGGGAAGAGAGAGAGGGGGGGGGCGCAAAAGAAGGGAAGGGGGGGGGGGAGGGAGAGGGGGGGGGGGAGGAAGAGAGAGGGAGAGAGAGGGGGGACTTTTTTTTTTTGCAAGCGGGCAAGCTCGCCCACCCACCCACCCACCTGCCCCCCCTCCTCCTCCTCCTCCTCCCTCGCCTCTCCCCGCGGTCTTAAAGGCTTCTGCGAACGGCGGCGGCGGCGGCTGCTGCTGCTTTTGGAAGCTCCGCGACGAGTAAGTGATGGAATCCCGGCGCAGGGTAGAAGGAAAAAGCCCGAAGCGTGGTCGGGGATGAGGATGGAGGGGGGTGGGTGGGGGACAGATGATGGGAGAAGGATGGCCTGGCGGAGCCGGAGATGGGTCCACGGCGTGTTCCCCTTTTTTTGGGGGGGGGGGAGCCGGTGAGAAGTTTGGGTTTTCTGGGACGCGGGGAAGCCGCCGTGGGTTCGTTGGTTGGAAATTGGGGAAGGGGGGGTTGGGAAGGGGGTTTGGTTTCCTTGGACGTGGAGAAGAGAAGTCTTGGCTTCGTTGGAAGCTCTTTGGACATCCGTCTTTCGGAGGGAGGGAGGGAGGGAGGGAGGGAGGAAATGGGACAAGGGAAGGAAGGGAGAGAGAAAGGAAGGACGGAAGGAAAGAAGGGAGGGAAAGGAAGGAAGGAAATGGGACAAGGGAAGGAAGGAAGGAATGAAAGGAAGGAAGGAAGGAACTAAGGAAGGAAGGAAGGGGACAAGGGAAGGAAGGAAGGAAGGGGACAAGGGAAGGAAGGAAGGAAGGAAGGAAGGAAGGAAGGAAGGAAGGAAGGGGAAGGAAGGAAGGAAGGAAGGGAATGGGACAAGGAAAGGAAGGAAATGGGACAAGGGAAGGAAGGAAGCAAATGAGACAAAGGAAGGAAGGGAAAGGAAGGAAGGAATGGGATAAGGGAAGGAAGGAAGGAAGGAAGGAAGGAAAAATAAATGCAAGGAAGGGGAGGCAAGGAGGAAGGAAAAATAGATAGGTAGAAGGAAGGAAGGAAAAATAGGTGGAAGGAAGGAAAAATAGGTGAAAGGAAGGAAAAAGGACTTCAATTCCATCAGGAAGTTTCATGGTTGAACTTGGATGTGATCCCAAAGTCCTCCACTTCCCTCCTCACAGCTTGTGGTCACTCAATATTCTACAGTTTGCTACAGTCAAGCCACAGGCACAACCTCCAATCCTATTGGAACATGGACCCAGACTCTCCACTAATGAAGCCACCTTTTGGCTTTCTCCTCACCTTGGAAGCTGAAAGACCCTGAAGGAGCTGGCGGGTGAATCTCAGGCCTTGAAAGTCCCTCATCTGGCATGAGTCCCAGGTGATTAGGCAAATCCTGGGCATCGTTATTCAAAGAGGAGCCTCACCTGGTTTCAGATGACACACCTGTCCCTGGTTAACCACAGAACTTCCATTTGAGAGAGTTGTGGAAATCATAGGACCTGTCCAGGCAAGGTTCCCATTAAAGGCGAAACTCCATTGACTTCTTTGTGCTTCCTGTTTTCTGAAAATTAATTAAAGGATTAATTAATTCCTTAAAGGATTTAATTGCTCAACTGGACACCAAGTTGCTTTGAGGAGACTCCTATCCTATTCATGTTCTCCCTTGAGCATTCAGGAGACTATATGAACCAGTCGCCAAGTGTCCAAATTTTGATCACGTGACCATGGTTGTAAGTGTGTTGTCACGTGCTGCATTGCGACCTTTTTTTCCCTTTGCTATAATGACCCAGGGCATGGCCAGTGTGTGACACATCTGGCCCACAGGCCGCAAGTTTGACACCCCTGCTATAGAACATGTTTTGGAGTAGCCTTGGTGGCTAAACCCGGTGTTGGCGAAACCCAGCAGTTGTGACTTGATTTGATGAATTAGAGCTTCATCAACTAGTTCGACTAGAACGAGAAGACTTCGTTGCCTTAGGTCATCTAGTCCAACCCCCACCCGCTGCCCAAGCAGGAGACTCTACACCATTTCTGACAGATGGCAGCCCAGTCTCTTCTTGAAAGCTTCCAGTGATGAAGCTCCCACAACTTCCGAAGGCAACTTCTGTTCCATTGGTTGATTGTTGTCATTGTCAGAAAATTTCTAGGTTGAATCTCTCCTTGTTCAGTTTCCATCCATTATTCCTTGTCTGGCCTTCAAGTGCTTTGGAAAATAGATTGACCCCACTCTTCTCCTTGCAGCCCCTCAAATATTGGAAGATGCTATCGTGTCTCCCCTGGTCCTTCTCTTCCCTAGACTAGCCATGCCCAGTTCCTGCAACCGTTCTTCATATGTTTTAGCCTCCAGTCCATTAATCATCTTGGTTGCTCTTCTCTGCACTCTTTCTAGAGTTTCAACATCTTTTTTATAGGGTGGTGACCAAAACTGGATTCAGTATTTGTTCTTATTTCTAGGTTGAATCTCTTGATAAGTTTCCATCCATTATTCCTCTGCCTTTCAGTTATAACCATTTTTCACGGAGTTGCACACCTGTGATAGCTTCCCATCATATTATATCTGCAGGCACCTTGGAATACTTCTTTTAATCAAGCTGCTGAAAGCAGAGGAATGTGATGAGCCCACAAATGCACCCACCACCTTAAAAATCAGGGGCAAATACTTCGTCTCATTCTTCCTGATAGGTACCCTTAGTTTCTTCCTCCTTTGTGTTCAACCCCTTTGAATGCTAAGATGGTGTGACAGTTGGTCTGAGCAACTCCAGGTTCAAACTCCATTCAGCCGTGAATCTCAGAGGGTTATCACAAAACAATCGTTGACCTAGTTTGTCCATGCCGAGCATGGCTTGCTTTTCCAAGACTCTTTGGGTTTAAACTTGGGTTTAGCTAGACTCACACAAGAGCCAAATCCAACCACATTATGGCTCATCTGTGAACACAATCAGAAACCAACCTGCCTTTAGAAGAAAATATTTGCAGCTCAGGGTTGAACTGTGGGGTCCCTGGTGCTCTTTGAGCTCGGTGGTTTCCTTGCAGATGTTTTATCATCAAACGAGGTAACATCATCAGATAGATACAGATACAGATTAACAGAGTTGGAAGGGACCTTGTAGGTCATCTAATCCAATCTTCCCCTGCCCAAGAAGACCCTACACCATTTCTGACAGATGGCAGTCCAGTCTCTTCTTCAAAGCTTCCAGTGATGAAGCTCCCACAACTTCTAAAGGCAAGTTGTTCCATTAGTAGATTGTTCTCACTGTCAGAAAATGTGTCCTTATTTCCAGATTGAATCTCTTCTTGATCAGTTTCCATCCATTATTCCTTGTCTGGCCTTCAGGTGCCTTGGAAAATACTTTGACCCCCTCCTCTCTGTGGCAGCCCCTCAAATACTGGAACACTGCTATCATGTCTCCCCTGGTCCTTCTCTTCACTAGACTAGCCATGCCCAGCTCCTGCAACTGTTCATAGTACGCTAACATTGATGGTGTTACCTAGTTTGGATAGTTGGATAATTACCTAGTTTGAAACATCTTCAAGAAAACATCCATGCCCAAAGAGCACCAATGCCCCATCAATTATTATTTATTTATTAGTTTGATTTATATGCTGCCATTCTCCGGAGACTCAGGGCGGTTTACAATGCTTTTAAGCAATAGCCTTCATACTTTTGTATATACCTGCTTAGTAGAGCTTTTGGCCCCTCCAAGTGGTGTTCTATTTTCATACAAAGTCAGTTTATTGCCCCCACAAACCGGGTCCTCATTTTACCTACCTCGGAAGGATAGAAGGCTGAGTCAACCTTATTTATTTATTTATTTAATTTGTATACCGCCCTTCTCCCAGAAGGGACTCAGGGCGGTGAACAGCCAAAATTAAAAAACATACAAATACAAAAGTTAAGATAATTAAAAAGAATTAAATCATTAGCTTCCCAATTTAAACCTTGAGCCTGGTGAGAATTGAACTCGCAATAATTGCAGGCAGCTGGCAGCTAAATGCTACTTTAGTGGACTAAACTAACAGTAGTTTAGTCCACTGCACCACCAGGCTCCTAAGGTAGGCATCAACCTACCTTGCCAGACTGGAGGGTAGGATCCTGTAGAAATATAGGGACCTGAAAAACACATATAGAAAAAAATGAAGCATTAATAGAAGCAGCTTGCATCTGGTTATGCCAGCAGACTGAGAAACAGATCAGGTTGCTCTTATTATGTCCTTAGTGGAACCTGGTTGTAGGAAAATCTACAGGAGAAACTTTTCACAGTGTGGAAATAAACATTGATTATATTGTACGCTGATTGTTGAAAAAGACAGCCAATGCACAAAATCAAGATGCCAAAATCAGTAGGCATAGAAGTTTTTCGTGGCACGAAACTGAAAAAAAAAAAAAATACAGCTGCTACTTAGCGAAGATCAAGCTGCTATGCAAAGCATTGCTACAAAAGGTAATAAGAAAAGATTAATCCCCAGATATAAAAAAAAATAATGATAATTCTCGCTAAAATCCTGTAATTTCACAGATAGCTCCACGTGGGTTGCGGTTTTGTTTGGTAACAGTGTGAAGGGGTTTTGTCACAGCCTTCT